TTTAGATTTTTTATATTTAAAATGAGATGTTTATCCTGTATTTGATTGTGTTTATCTACAGTTAGTTACACGAATTCAAATATGGGACGAAATCGGATAGGGATGAACGGGTTTAAGAGTTTTTAAGAGTTTAAGAGTTTTAAGAGTTTTTAAGAGTTTTAGTCAAATGCTTTATAATATGGTATAGATGATGAAGAAATTTAGTCCTTAATAATTATATATTTTCTAAGGAGTAAACTACCATTTTGGTCCTTGTGGTTTACATGAATCTCTGAAAGTGATCCCTAGACTTCAAGAACTACAATTATCCTGCCCTACTGTTTACATTTTGCTTTGAAAATCGTCCCTCGACTTAACTCTATTAAATTTTCCGGTTTAGTTAGGCATATTTTTGTCTTTTTACTTTTACAATGACAAGTTATACAATTTTGTTTAAACTATAAGGACCGAATTGCAATGGCTCCAATTTTTATTAATATTATATAGGGGTGTGTGTGTATATATATATATATATATATATATATATATATATATATATATCTATCTATAGGCTTGAGTTCACGTGAGACCAAGAGATATTCGTGAGACCCGTAAGACCAATTTACATTCATTGATCAACTTTATAAGTTAATGATCTAATGGTCTAAAATTGGACGGTGGCAATTTTGTAATTATTAAGAAGTCTCGTGGCAATTTTGTGATTATGAATGTTGAGATTGTAGATCTAATCCAATGGTTGAGAATTGGTCTTACGGGTCTCACGAAAAAGCCTTGGTCTCATATGATTTCAAATATATATATATATATATATTAAGTTAGGAGTATTTTCGTCTAAACCATAAGACCAAACTATAATTTACTCTGATTTTTATTAATATTATATATATATATATATATATGTATATATATATATAAACACACATACAGACACAGAAGGGACCAAAATTTGGTGGCCTTCTTCGACACCCACCACTCTGGTCTCCTTCTGTCATCTTGTCCGACCAAGATGCCGTCTATGACAATCGACCACTAAACCCACCACATGTGAGCATCCCTAGCAACACATCTCCCTTCTCTTTTCTATGCTTTTCCCCATCTGGTAACCCCCCTCCCTAGGGCCACCTTCGTCCTCAATTGAATCAACAAACGAGAAGTATTTTCCGCATCACCCAGTTCGTCCCTGTGACCCCCCTTACTGACCATCTCTCTTCCACCCATTCCCGCTATTGACCACCATCTCCATCGACACTCCCCCTCAAACACCCCCATCCATCACCAACCTCATCCCCTTGATGTGATCTCCAGAAAGAAAAAAAAAACCCTTCTTGTTTCCCTTCCTTTATTGTCGATTTCCTCTCCATCTTTGATTTTTGTTTTGATCGGGTTTTTATATTTGATTTAGGTTGGGTTTTGATTGGTTTCAGATTCAGATCTCAAGTGTGATTTAGGCCAGACAAAATGACCGGAGGAGATCACCCGAGAAGACCACCAGAGTGGTAGGTGCTAGAGAAGGCCACCGGATTTTAGTTCCTATGATGCTAGAGGTGACGAATGCTCAAGTTTAAAAAGTCAAAAACAAGAAAAAGACAAAAAAAAGTGTAAAAAGACAAAAATACCCTCATTTAACTGAGTTTTTTTGACGATGTTAAGCTTAAGGAACGATTTTCAAAACAAAATATAAACAATAAGAACGATAATTATAGTTATTGAAATCTAAAAACCACTTTCAAAGATTCCCACACTAACAAAAATCGTAGTTTACTCAATTTTTAAAATTGTATGCATCCCTTTTGGGCGAAAAGAGTGTATATGTATTCCTCAACCTCTCTTTGAATTAGGTTTTGATTGGCCAAACATTATAGGCCGTCAAAAGCGACCAAACTAGCCTCCAACAGCACAAGCCCTACTTCTACCTTCCGCTTATATATCCATCTCTCTTCCAATTTCTTCACGTCTCTGCAGTTTTCACTTCCATCCAACAGAAATCAGATCCATTTTTTAGGTATGTGTGATGATTCATGTGTTTTTTTTGTTTCTCTTTAGTGTTATCGTTGATTTTATTACTTGCTACATCAAGATCAGGTTCTCGATTGATGAGTTTCAACTGTTTTTAGATCTATATGATTACTTTTAGTTCTGGGTCTTTTTCATAGGATATACTCTGATTGCTTGTGTGCGTAAGATATTGTTTCTTGTTGCTTGATGAATTTGCCTGATTGTATGATATTATTTCTAATTTGGGAAAGATCTAAATTTCGTTTTGATTTTGAGATTTTGGTTTAAATGATCTTTATGAACACTCCATTTTTTAAATCTTGTGGCCCTTTGATTTGATCTATTACTTTACAAATGCAAAATCGATATAGATTTTGTTGCAAATACGTAACATTTTTTTATTTGTACGAGGAGAATTATCATGAGGGAATCCATAGGTAAAATTGTTGGAATCACTTATCAAAAGAGACCATTTGGAAACTAACCATCAATTCTGGGAGAAAACCATAACAGCAATTTAGCTTGCAATCAGGAAAATTTAAGTGCACTAACAGCCGTAGACCCTAGTTCTTGGCACTTCTTGTCTAAGATTGCTCATTATTGTAAAAAGTAGGGTTTTTTTATGTTTGCTAAAACTGATGGTTTTCTGTAACAAAAATCCATGTATGATGGTTTAAAAGTTGAAACCTCTAAATAAATGTTAGGCCTGTGGGGCTCCTCCTGACAGATCCTCAGTTCGAGTTTTCTTAGTGCCATTGGGGATTTCCTTGGTTGATATCTTCAGGGACCCATGGGATTAGTCGATGCATGTGCAAGCTGCTTATTGGTTGATAGCTTGAAAGCTAGATTATGTGTCTTATAAGACCTGTTAATTGGCAAAAAAAGTCTTAAAAACATGCTAATTGTTGTATCTAATGAAGTTAGGGGATTAGAGATAATCCGGCATACATATATATTGCCTCAAAGCTGACCTTCCATGAATTTACTTGGATATTTTGTATATAAAATTTATTAAGGAAGCCTCAAACCTCTTAACTATGAATAGCTTTCATTGCATGATTTTCTTAAATACAAGACAAATATTTAGTTTTTAAAGAGTGAATTAGCATTTTGAAACAGTAAGTATCTGCAACTGCAAGAATGCAAAGGAAATCGTATAGCTAGTTTTGACTTTTTGTCAACATAATTAGTTGCTAAACATCATTTTCTATCCAATTTATCATATTTTAAATCATAAACTGAAAAAAGGACACAAGTGTTGGTGAGCAGGGGCCAAGTGACATGTTTGGTACAAAGACATGTTTATGTTTCATTTAAGCTTTTCATGAATTATATTTGTTCTTGTTTGTTTGCTATTAGTATTCATATATAAGCATTTTATAAATCTTTTGTATTGTTTCCTGAAGATGGAAATTCTGCAAGATTCTGCTTTTCGTTTTAATATTCTCTATAGTGGGGTTCCTTTGAATCGTTATAAGAAAAACCACATCATATTTACGTAATATTTATGCTTGGTATAGTTTCCAATCACCACCATCATGTTTGGCCGTGTTCCTAAGAAGAGTGATAATTCAAAGTATTACGAAATTCTTGGTGTGCCACAAAGTGCCAGTCAAGATGAACTGAAGAAGGCTTACCGGAAGGCTGCCATAAAGAATCATCCTGACAAAGGTGGAGACCCTGAGAAGGTGAATCTTTATGAATTATATGCCATTTCTCTGGTTTTCCAGTATGTAGCCATTTTGGATTTTATGTCAACCACAATAAGCATCCTAAATTTAAGAAGAAAGTAGAGTTTTGAACTATATAAATACTCCCTCCATCCCAAAATAAATGTACATAATGAAAAAGGCACACAATCTTAGAACCTTGTAGTGATTACATTTTTTAATTAACTGCCTGACAATTGTAACCTTGATAATAGAGGGAGTAATGAATTTCTCCATCTCGTAATTAAGGGTAGAATTGGTAGATATGCACTTACTTTTGAAAGTGGACATTTTTTTTGGGACAAAGTAAAATCAAAATGTCTACACTTATAATGGGACGGCAGAAATATAATTTTGCAAGAGATGCAAGAATATGTGATACTGTCCCGTTTTATTTCTAAATGCATACTATTTTGCAGTTCAAGGAATTGTCTCAAGCATATGAAGTCCTCAGCGATCCAGAAAAACGAGAAATTTATGATGAATATGGTGAAGATGCTTTGAAAGAGGGAATGGGAGGAGGCGGTAGCTCCTCTGGGAACCCATTTGATGTGTTTGAGCAGTTCTTTGGTGGTGGTGGTTTTGGAGGAGGATTTGGTGGTGTGGATTCTTATTTGATCCTTTTTAGCTTTTCCTTGTCCAATTTACTTAATTGGTAACTAATCTATTATGCAAATCTTTGTATTGTTAGGTGGTGGTAGTTCAAGAACTAGGAAGAAGCAAGGAGAAGATGTAAAACAAATCCTAAAGGTTTCTTTGGAGGAAGTGTATAATGGCACAATGAAGAAACTCTCTCTTTCAAGGAATATTTTGTGCAAAAAGTGTAAAGGGTACACCACACATCCTTTAAGATTGGTGAAAATATTTGTATAATCCGATTCATTGTTGGACTGGAGATGGATAAGAAGCCCAAAGCCCAGCCCTACCTGAAAAAGCCCGGCTTGAAAAAGCCCAATCGGGCCCATATTCACCCAAAAGCCTAATCCGGGCCTTCTTTTATTTACTAAAAAAAGGCTTGGACAAAAGGCCCTACCCTTGTGTATCTCTAGTTGGAACTACTTGATCAAACTATATTCATCTTTGCCAAGTCCAAAGAGCAAGCTGTGATGATAATAATTCAGAAAGTATCTAATTTATACATGTAATATATCAGGAAAGGTTCGAAGAGTGGTGCTTCATCTAGATGTCATGGATGCCAAGGGTCTGGAATGAGGGTCACAACTCGACAGATCGCCCCAGGAATGATCCAACAAATGCAGCATGTTTGTTCTGAATGCAGAGGCTCTGGTATCTACTGAATCCCTGCAGCTATCATATCTGTACTTACATTATAAAACATTTAGGTGAAAGTCTTAAAAACAACTTATTAAGCATTATGTACTGCTTAGTAATGCATAATCACTGAAATTTTGAGTTCACATGTAATCATTGCAAACATGCACTTTCTTAAAGCTCTTTGAACTTCATAAAACTAACTAATAATAACCAACTGATAAATACGTTCAAATATAGGATAATCATTAATCCCTAACAGAATAAAACACTTTATCATTAAAGCTAAAATAAGTTACATCATTGTTTCTAAATCTAAAATCTTCAAATTATAATAAAATTTTGAATGAAGTATATTATATCAAAAATGGAACTTTTATTGTTTAACTTGACACCAGTATCAACATATTTTTCGGATTTTTTATGTGGTCTTCAAATTAGCAATGTTCAATCACCACTTGTAACTTCAAATTAGCAATGTTCAATCACCACTTGTAATTTCTACTTTATTGAAACATACATTTAGAATTTTATTTTACGATGATAAATTGCATTAATATTCCATTCTTGGTTTACAATAAAATCTTGCATCCTGCTGCATTGCATGGGTACACAACTAGTCTTCTTAATGGCATATGTTTTACTTTCTGTAACTCTTGAAATTATGTTCAATTAAATAGGAGAATCAATCAACGAGAGAGATAGATGCCAGCAGTGCAAAGGAAAGAAGGTTACACAGGAGAAGAAAGTGCTTGAGGTTAATGTTGAAAAAGGAATGCAGAATGGTCAAAAGATAGTGTTTGAGGGCCAAGCTGATGAAGCTGTAAGTAAATTTAGATCATAAATAAACCTCGATTCTCGCCCTACTGGCAAATAAAAGCTAGGCCTTGGGCTCATTCCCATAGGTCGCCGGTTTGAGCTTCTCAGGGTCACTGGAGATTTTTATGGCTGTTATCTCCAGGGCCCAATGAGATTAGTCAAGGTGCATGCAAGTCAACCCGGATACCCATGGTTACAAAAAAATATAGATTGTAAATATGGTTGATATGTAGTTGATCTTTTTCCGTGTTTAGCCATCAAGCATTAGACTTTGACCTTTATCTATCTATTTTGCAGCCTGATACCGTTACAGGAGATATTGTTTTCGTATTGCAACTGAAAGAACACCCCAAATTTAAGAGAAAGCAAGATGATCTCTATGTGGAACACAATGTTAGCTTAACCGAAGCTCTTTGCGGGTTCCAGTTTGTTCTTACTCATCTTGATGGCAGACAACTTCTTATCAAAACGAATCCTGGAGAAGTGATCAAACCTGGTACAAGGAAAATCAAAACCCTTTTCTTAAATTTTGTTATTTCTCTGTTTTTAGCAATGGTTTTTATTTTTGATGCCAAATAGTTACGGGATTCTGATTTCTCTTGCAAATCAGACATGGTGCTAGAAAATCAAACGCCCTCTTCTTGAATTCCATCATCCTGTTTTCCAAAATAGTTTTCAACTTGTGAGGTCAATAGTGATATTATTTCTGTTATAAATCATCTAAAATGGTACAAGAAAATCAAAGACCCTCTTCTTCCTTTTTTTGTTTTTTTATGGTAAACCTTATTTGACACATTTACTAGTCCACTGGGATCATTCAAAACACTATGGGCAGACTTTAGGTCTTCTGGCCAGGGGCATGCCCTTTAGGAGGTGTTTGGATGAGCGAAAGGACTGGATGAGCGAAAGTGAGGCCTGTATGTGTAAGAATAATGAAAGGTTTTAGGGGTTCCATTTGACATGGGTAGTCTAGTAATTTACCAATCTTGTCCCATCTCCCTAATTTTTGTTCCACCTATTTTGGTGGGACAAAAAATTTACAAAAAATTGTCATAGTTTAATGTCGTGACAAAACATGAAACAAGAAGTTTTTTCTTCTACTGTCTCACGTACAAAGAGCACCCTTAAAGAAGTTGATAGCATCTAGTAGGAATTGAACATGGGACCCCAATGATCGACTGTTAGGCTAAACCCTCTTTCTAAATTTCATTATTAATCTCTTTATTTTCTGAAATGATTCGACTTTTAAGGTCAAACAATGAAAGGATTCCGATTTACCTACAAATCCCTCTTCAAAACATTAGCAGTTATCAATTGTATTGCAACTATGCTTTCATTTTCTCATTCACTTTCCATGTACAGATCAATACAAAGGAATCAACGATGAGGGAATGCCACAGTACCAACGACCATTCATGAAGGGCAAGCTCGTAATCCATTTCAATGTTGCATTTCCCGAAACTGGGGCTCTGACCCCCGAGAAATGCAAGATTCTGGAGACCATTTTACCCCCTGCAAGCACGAGTTCATCTGAAATGGCGGTTGATGATTGTGAAGAAACCATTTTACATGATGTGAATATGGAAGAAGAAATGAGGAGGAAAGAGTATCAGAGACAGCAGGAAGCGTACGATGAAGATGAAGACGATGAACCTGGAATGCAACGCGTGGGTTGTAATCAGCAGTAAGATCCATCTTTTGCGGTTTTATAAAGGGTAGAGATTTGTGATTCTTATGATGTTTGTGAAGATTTATGGCTATTCTGCTCGCTGATTCTTAGTTTTCGTGCGTTTTTCGAGATTTTGAGCTTTGGCTCGGCTTTCTTTTGTTGATTTTATGATATATTCGACACTTATGAAATTGAGTTTTTGCTTGCCTTGTTATAGTTCTTCACACCTTTCTAATACTTTCCTTTTGAATGAATGGAGCTTATTGCGAATGTGAACTTCTACCACCCGTTGTGTATTTGGTAATTCAGTGGAAAACATGTGACTATAAGGTTTAGGGGTTGCTTACCAAATGCTTACCGGATGTCACTTACCTTAATAGGTGAGTGTGACAAAGACCAAGAATCTTACCAAATAAGAGATATAAGGACCAAAATCTTACTGGATAAGAGAGAGAGAAAACTCTTATTCGGTTAGTGCTTACGAAGTAAGAGATGCTTACCGACAAAGACAATCCATTTTGATGGTCGAGAAGGTTACTCGATAAGATAAGTGAGAGTGGTGACTCTTGGTGGTATGTCTTTGGTAAACGTCCTCTTAAACTGATACTAAAGCATTATTGATCTATTGGTATTTGGGTTACCTCTCAAGCTTAACCTTCTTGGAGGTGAGGGGTTCAGGTCTCAATACAAGTGGGGAGGGTACGCAAGTTTTGTAGCGGTCTATACTTCCAAAAAGAGATTCAAATCGAGAGCTTTTGGGCTTACTATGTCTTTGATGGTGGCATTAGCTACCGAAGGCGGGTGTTGCATCCTTATTTCCGACCATTTTGCACGGTAGCGAGATGATTTTTCGGTTCAGGGGTGGAAAGTGGCAAAACAGGAAAGTTTAGGGATTTTTTTTGCCAAGCTGCTGAAATTTTTGTAAATTGAATTTTCAGGGTACGACTTATCTTTGGAAACATTCAAATCCCTTTTGACCTCCATCTTGTCAACATTTTTGTCGTTAAGAATTCGATTTTAGGGCTTTGATTTGTGTTGTTTAATACTTCTGTAGAGCCCATTAATCGTCGAGAGTTTTCCAATATTTCTGTTTTTAGCCCTTATTTGAAAAAATTATTACATTTTTTTTATTAACCTGGATATCCAACCCGTTATGCAAGCCGACTAATCCCAGGAGTCACCGCATTTGAATCTCCATGGCCACAAATAGATTTTTATTCATCTTTAGATTTGAACCTGAGACCTCCTGGTATTTTTGATCTTTGGAGTCAAACTCAAATCAATTAGGCACTACCATTATGGTTAAAATTATTAAATTTTGGTTTAAACCAATTTCATGAAAGTACAGTTTATACCCTTTTTTTTGAATTTCTTTTTACCTTTTAAGTAGTAGGACATAATAAAGGAAGACTTGACCAATCAACTTTAGAATGTATGAATAGCATCCATAGAGTAAAATAACCTTAGCAAGGTAATAGTAAATTTATATAAGTTCTATGTGTTTTAGTTATGAATTTTTTTTTACACTTGAAACTTTACAAGAAAATGTTGTGAAAGTAACTTTTATAGTGTTTTTGCTGTGAAGGTTCGACTTTTTTTTTACCTTCACAACATTTTACTGTGAAGTTTCAAGTGTAAAAAAATGGTCTCACAGATCTCACGAAGATATGCTGATCTCTTGTGAACCCAACCATATATATATATAGGGGAGCGATCAAATGCAAACCATTCAATTTGTACAAACCGTGCGAACTTTATTCAACCAATCATAATTTTTTATTTTGTTCATTTTTTGTAATTATAAGAGGTTGATTAATCATTTTTATTGTGGAGGGTGTTAATCATAGATATTATAATCTTCATTATTTTAATTTTAGAGAAATACATGAAACAGTTTCATTAAAATTTCATTAAGTATTATATGAAACAATTTCATAACCATATATGAAACAACTTCATCAAAAAAAGTATTATATGAAACAATTTCACAAGATTAAACAATGAAATCGATGGATGAAGGTGGTTTGCACGGTTTACACAAATGAGGGCGGTTTTCATTTGATCGCTCATATAGGGCCAAGATCAAATGCTAACCATCAATTTCGTGTTAACCTTATTAACCGATCTTGGCCATCCAAATCTATAATCAATGGTTGTAAATTAATCAATTTAAAAATTTAATTTTTAAAATTTGAATTTTAATTAGGCCTTGTGAACATATATGAAAGGGGCATTTTGGGTAAAAAATTTCCACTTCATAGGCGCGGGTATTATCAAATCATCGGTTACAAAAAATCGATTACCAAAAAACGACGCTCATCACATCTTATCACGGGGGCTGAAAATCTGGTTCATCATCTTCACAAGAAAATGGCTGATTTAGGAGGATTTCACGTTAATCAGCAGCAAATAAGAGGTATGTTAAAAAAATTAGGGTTTTTATCGTCGTTTGATTAGTAGTATAATACGATAACAACAGATATTTTCACTTCAGTGAGGAAGAAAAGTGAAAGAATAATGAAGAAAACTTACTTCTCAAACTTCAAGAACACCATCGACAACCCAATTGATGTCGATGCAGATACTGAAGTAGAACGAACAAATGGTGTACAAAGTAATGAACGATGCTCGAGTAAAGGCAAAGGCTTGGAAATCATAAATACCCAGGAATACACAAGTAAACTTCACTAATGTTTCAATTAATGAACCTTTTTCTTGTTGGTTGCTTATTTAATGTTTTGGTTAATCGAATTTCTAAATAGGTTCAAGTTTGTTGACTACTGATTTTGAGTTTTTAGGATGTTTTTTTTCCAATTTTTTACATATAGTGTGTAAGGATCATATTTGGGAGCAAATGCACAAACATGCATACCCGGTTTGTTATTGTATACTGTTAATGTTGGTCCTTACATCTGTTGTACTATGATATTAAGTTACTTAATTGTTCAAACCACAAGAGATGTGTTTGTAAGTTTGTCCTTAGGTTCACATTTATAACATGTTCCCGTTCTTTCGTCATCCACAAGGTGTGACAGTGATTCAATTTTGTGATACGTAATACAATTTTAAGATGAATTGTAATAGGCGTAAAGGTTTTAAATGTATATGTCTTAATTTATAAAATTATCTACATGATGCATTAATTTATGTGTACATTTATTTCATATTACAATCATGTTCACCATGGGCAATGTGAATGCCGATTTATATACCACCTATACGTGCGCATCATTTTAGGTTACTACGTCACACAAGGGTTCATACAACATGATATTTGTCTGTACAGGATTCAATTTACCACAATTCCTAAAAATAATGCACTGACATATGCATACATTTCTTTGATATTACATTCATAATCCGTTTGAATGCGTACATATAATGTGCCAGTCGCAATGTGTGTTCGTATTGTTGGACATATGTTCACAATCGTGTGGTGTGCGTGAATCTTGTTTATTTATGTTCATATCTTGTTCATTTATGTTCATATATTGTTTAATAAGGTTAACGTTGGTTCATTTATGTTCATATCTTGTTCACGTTGGATCATCGTTGGCCCATGTATGAACACGATATGAACATGAATTAGAATATGTGCAGTTATGTTCATATCTTGTTCACGTATGTGATCAAAAATGGTTATCTCGGTAATGATTTTGCAATCAGCATCATTGTTCTCGACAACACACTCACCTGCACGTTTCAAGATGTATAGCATTCTTACTCGGACTAAAATGATACAATTTTCTTAGGTTTTTTTGGACAAGTTAGATAAGCATAGTGAACTTAGGCAATGTTAGACAACAATAAGCTAGTTGGAACTTATTGAAAAAGCTCTGTTTGATCAGCCAATAAGCTAGCTTCTTGAAACACTACTTCAAGTTGTATTTCAATAAGCTTCAAGGGGTTCTATTTTTTCCAATTATGACCCTCATAATTTCCACTTTCTTATATTAACAAAAAACATTTTATATTGTCATCTAACTTTTTTTTTTTTGAAAGTATATAATATTTATATATAGCAAATATTCTTGCACATTCCTCCTCGCCAAAGGTGAGGAGGTTTCAATTATTGACCTCCTGACTGGGCTCTGTGGTGACCCGGGTACCACGAGCGGTGTGATCTACCTGTAAGGCTGTAAACCGAGCATCACCAGTGACCCTTTGGTGTGTGATTTAGCCTACCAACTACCTTTTTTTTTTACCAAACATGACTAGTTTATTGGCTAGATTATCAACCAGTTTTTTTTACCAAACATGGCTAGTTTATCTGTTAGCTTATCTGCCAACAGCCGCCAGCAACCAACTTATCGCTAGTTTGCCAAAGATAGCCTTAAATAACAACTGTACATAGAGATTTTAGATGATGCTAAACTTGAAAAATGATCCATATCAAGAAAAGCATGAAAGCCTCAAAAGTCGGTATGGAGAGTATTGTAAGTCTTAAACTTTACCTTCGTCTGAATCTTCATCCAATAGTTTGAAACTGAGCCTAATCTCCAAATCAAAGACAAAATCAATAAAAAAACATAATACTAATAAGTTATACAAGTTACAGACAATAATGGTGGTTGTTGACGGTTAAGAGCATACATTGAAGCTTCTACAGTTTTGGATTTTAACGACTTCTGAGGCTTGCGACTTAGGGCTTGAGGTAGATGATCATTGTCAGGATCAACTATGTACACATTGTTTGGCTGAGACAAGGAGAGTTTCTTCATTCCATGATCATGATAGATATGGGAGTTGATATCCTTCATGACTATAACCTTCTCGTGTATGTCAATACCAACTGCATGAACTTCAACCACCAAAATGAGTGTGAATTCATAGGACCTTTTGGCCTAGCAGTATCCGGTAACCCAACCTTCCTAGAGGTCAAGGGTTCCAACCTCACCAAGGACCAAGAGTGTGTGTGAGGATCACATGTGATATGGGCATTCTCACTCTTTTATGAAGTGGTGTTATTCTCGTTTGAACCTCCACCCATACATACATGCGACAAATCAAATGAGAACAACAAAAAGGTTAAGAACAGTTAGAACCATTTTTCATCCGTCGTTTCACATTGTGTAATATCGTTGGCCCATGTATGAACACGATATGAACATAAATTAGTCATGGCTCTGTTTTCAATCAATTGTCCTGCACTATAATAACCAACAAAATACTGAAAGTTAACTAACAAGAAGATCCAGGTTAAATAAATTTAGCTTTCAAGGAACCAGAGCATTA